GCGAATCCGAGGTCAGCATTTTCACCGCCAACTACGCGCCCTTCAGGCTGTGTGAAAGCTTCCTTGTATCGTGCCAGCAATCTGGGATTAGGCGTAATGAGACGTTTAGACAAGACCGTCGTTGAAATGCAGAGGATTATCGAAAGAATAGTTCCCCACTGCGTCATTTTTATATGCGTTTTTTTTCTAATGAACTAATTAAGTAATTGGATGTATGTATGTATATATGTAAATTAATTTTTAAATGTAAAAACAGTGTTTTACTAGTTAGGACTGAATATCATAACTGAACAGAAACCGAAGAATGACACCGTAGGTTCTTGAAATTTATCCAATTATTTTTGCATTTTTATTGCTTTCGGTGGTTATCGAATTCGTGCAGAAATCTAATCACTTACCCAATTAAACGTTATTATGATTATTAAAATTTCAACAGCGATTATATCCATATTCGAGATAAGGAGCACGAATAAGGCAAAAGTACGCTAAGCAATTTGCAGAAGCAAATTAAGTTCAAGCAACTCCGAATTTTATGTAGCAGTAGGCATGTCTTTCTTTTATACTTAGGGGTTCCACAAGACGTGCTAACCGCCATAAAATCTAAAGCTTAATATTTTTACGTAATGGTTAAAGTGGTTTTAGGTGGGCTAGTAATAAATATTTTTTGTGTAGTTTTAAATCTTCTAAATCTATTTTAATCATTATTTTACATACAAAATCGTTAAGCTTAAGATTTTACTACGGTTAACACGTCTTGTGAGTCCCTAACTGTTTGACCTCTCCTCAGCAGCGTTTAAAAGTAAATTTGAAGGGAATTATTTTACTCTGGGGGTTATGCCCCTTGGATGACGATGTTTACTTATACAAACTGAAACTTTATGATGAAGTATTAAAATTTTATTTTAAAGCTAACCGGAAATTAAAAACCGATTTGAAATTTTTTAAACTGATAATCAATTTATTTAAATTTTATGACTATTCAGGTAAAAAGGAATAAATAACTATATTGACTCACACTCAAAATTGTAGTGATGTTAGTATAATATTCGCAATGTTGTTCATCTGAAATTTTCGAAGTAAAAGTAGAGCTTATTACAAAAGCTTTATAATAAAAAAGAAGTACAAAACTAAAAATGAAGTACACTTCCAGATTTTCTTCTTTGGGAGTACATTGCAATAAAAATAGGAGTATGTATACTCTCAAAAGCAGTACGTCTGGCAACTCTAGTACTAATATAGGCAAGAAGAACCTATTTTAATTAATTTATCTCTTAATTATTTGACATGAAAAACATCCGTTTGGTATTTCAACAATTTAATTCATTATAAAATTTATGATATTAAATGAAAACTCAAAATTCTCTGACGAACCATTA